GGGGGCCAGAGGACGCGGCTGGGGAGGAGGCGACGTGAAAGGGGGCAGAGAGGACGCGGCTGGGGAGGAGGCGACGTGAAAGGGGGCCAGAGGACGCGGCTGGGGAGGAGGCGACGTGAAAGGGGGCCAGAGGACGCGGCTGGGGAGGAGGCGACGTGAAAGGGGGCCAGAGGACGCGGCTGGGGAGGAGGCGACGTGAAAGGGGGCCAGAGGACGCCGCTGGGGAGGAGGCGACGTGAAAGGGGGCCAGAGGACGCCGCTGGGGAGGAGGCGACATTAAAAATTTCTTCCACCCAAGTTCCCTTTTTATTATTGGACCTCCTGGAAATTTTTAATTCTGAACCCCTGGGTTAAACCCTAACCACAGGGACCATATTGTTTACAAATTTCAGGTGAGCCTCATTTAGTATAGAAGTGAGGTTTTCATGAACTATCGTCCCCATAATTCGCTGCTTCTCCTCCATGTAGTTCAGGGAGGGCAGTCTTCATGATTTAGTTATTGCTTGGCATGTGCCCAAGAACTTCCACTCAACATTAGTAAGGTCAGAGATGGGTCTGTGGAGTGGAGCCCCCCCATGGATTATGCTTCGGTTGGAATAGTTCAGATTACATTGTATAAAGGTATCCAGAGTTTTTCTGACTTTAGGACGCCTCCTTCTGTTTTCAGTAAAATTTACTGAAGTTGGTGTACGGCCTCATTGTTTTTACTGAGGACCATACCGTAAGGGCTTCTTTAACCGGAGGGTTGACCACAAGAACTTGAAGGCCAACGGTCCCGAGAACAGCGGGACTTCCCTTCTTATACCAACTCCGATGAAATCACGAAAGCCGTGTTCCCTTGCTGTTACCAATCACTGTAATCCTTATCTTTTTTTGTTTGTTCTTAGAGGGCGTAGAAGGTCGGGTCGGTGGAATAATCCACGCTGAACGTGGCGGAGATGAAATCTAGCAATGATGGCCGTCCAGCGCCAGGAGCAGACATGTGGAAGTTCTAGAGCCCTGCTGCTGCTACGTCAATGGAGATATTCGGAACCTCGGTCAACCAGTAAACCCGGACTAGCCATCATGTCATTGGTTTGGCACAGACTTCGATGTTCAAGAATTGCTTGCATGTATAGAACGAACGTTTTGTAAATGGCACTGCAGGTTTGTTTAAAAAAAAAAAAGAAAAAAAAATAGTTTCTTATACAATTAAAAAAAAAAAAAAGTTTAATGATGTAGTTTTTGTTTTTTTTTTTTTTTGGCTTCTGGCTTCTATCTTTACGTTTTTAGGGTCAGGTTAACTTTACTGTTCCAATAGAAATGGAGGAGATGCCATGGCTGACCTCTCCTAGTGAGCATGTTGGTCATCTGGCTGTCACACTCGCTCATGCATTACCTTCAATGCTTCGAGTCGCACCTGGAACAAGCTGATCGAGGAGATCTCTCCTTTACCGTATGCATGTTCCACATCTGTAGGGTGTAAAGTCAGGAAATTGGCATTTTCAGGAGACCAACAGTAGCAGTCCCTATACTTCTGTGAACAATTTTTCCTTTTAATGGTGAAATAAGCCACTCCAGGCATTGAGGATTCCAGTACCACAATCCCAGATGTTGTTTCAGCTCACTTTGGAGTTCAGGTGTTTCCACCCATCTAGGAATTCCATTGTGCCCCCTGCTGGAAGTGTGGGAGGGATACAGATGGTCCTCCAATTGACACACAGGTGCTGGGTGCCCATGTGGGGGGGACCGGTGCCCCCGTCGTCGGTGGGGAGGAACGGTGCCCCCGTCGTCGGTGGGGAGGAACGGGGAACGGTGGGGAGGAACGGGGCCCCCGTCGTTGGGGTCAGTGGGGAGGAACAGTGCCCTAAGGGCTGGATAAAGGCAAGCAAAGGGCCACATCTGCCGATCCCTGATCTAGGCTAACTGCAACTTCAAATTCAGATTTCTGGTATAGTGTACCTTACAGAGTAACTCCACTTTTGTAGAGATTTTTATTGTGATGCGAGGGTTCGGCCTTGTTCAACAGCATCTTCCCCTGCGAGGGCCACGCTCACTGCATGTGTGTTCCGTGTATCCCTGTGCAGGCAGTTCCATTCATGTCAGGCAGTGGCTGCGCGCACAGCGCCACTACTGCGAATCTGACATCCATCCAGGTGCATGGCTCCATATGCAGGCGTACATGATTGGGGCTGTACACACACACACAGATGTCTGGCAGCAGAACTGTGTCTGTGCAGCTGCTGCACTCCAATTGCCATGAATGGGACTGCCTGTATGGGGATGCATAGAACCCCCTATGCATCCCTATTCAGGTGTACACTGTAGAATGCCCATGTGAACTATGCATTCATGAAAAAAAAGGATGTATTGGCTGCATTGTTGGAGTATTTCTCCCACCAGCATTGTCATCAGCCTCCTATAGAATTTGTTCATTCGTCTTGGAAGTATTGCTTTACCTCTGTCAGGTTGGTGGTGAATGGCAGCTTAAGTCTTTTTATTCTCCGTTCATTTAAAGTGTTCCTAAATCCCGAACCTGGCATTCACCGTATCCGATCTCCCCCTCCCCCCCGGACCCGCAGTTTGCCGTGGTATTTAATCACCACTGAATTTTTTTTTATTTTTGCTAAATAAAATGAAAAACTTCTGAAACTTTAGCAAAAAAAAAATGCACTTTTTTTTTCTTCGTTTTAGTTATAAAATGTTGCAAATAACATTTCTTCATAAATTTGGGTCAAAATGTATTCTGCTACATTTCTTTGGTGAAAATAATTAAATTTGTATTTTTTTTTTTTTCTCAGCACACTGTGACCAAAGCAATACAATGTTACCATAGTAACACTGAACTACTCTGGGCGAGTGATCAGGATTTTATAAATTTTCTTTCTAACACATTGCTGATACCGCTGTATTTCATTGATATTTGCAATCATTGTTACTGACTGAAACATTCAGTCTTTTGTTGTGATTGGGCAAAGATGATCACATGATACAGATGGGCTGCGAGTGGCCCTGTCTGTATCATATGACTGCCCTGACCAGTCACAGCTAACAAAATTGTATACAATGGATGTGTCAGGGAGCGAGGAGCCAGACACAGAAGGAGGTGCAATTAAAGGTAGGTTTATTTACACAGAAACAAGGCAAGAGTCTATGCAAGTCCGACAGCAACAGTGGATGACTTGGTAGGACAGAAGTTCTCCTGCCGAGGTCGTCTTCCAGGATAATCAAGTCGAGAACCAGCGGGAATCGTAGCAAAGCCGGGGTCAGAAGCCGGGAAGGGTGGTCGCCAGAGCCGGGGTCCGAAGCCGGGAAGGGTGGTCGCCAGAGCCGGGGTCAGAAGCCGGGAAGGGTGGTCGCCAGAGCCGGGGTCAGAAGCCGGGAAGGGTGGGTCGCCAGAGCTGGGGTCAGAAGCCGGGAAGGGTGGTCGCCAGAGCCGGGGTCAGAAGCCGGGAAGGGTGGTCGCCAGAGCCGGGGTCAGAAGCCGGGAAGGGTGGTCGCCAGAGCCGGGGTCAGAAGCCGGGAAGGGTGGTCGCAGAGCCGGGGTCAGAAGCCGGGAAGGGTGGTCGCCAGAGCCGGGGTCAGAAGCCGGGAAGGGGGGTCGCCAGAGCCGGGGTCAGAAGCCAGGAGAGCAAAGAGTTAACTAAACAGGAGCTTGCTGCTGTGCAACAGACAGGACACTAATGCAATGGACAGCTGCCAACAGCAGACTTAAGTGTGATAAGCCGCCACCTCCTGGGAGGAGCTGCAGAGGGCTGAAAGCATAAAGGATCCCATAATGCTTTGCAGACCGAAGATGGATGATAGGCACATGGAGCAGCACAAGCCCTGAGGAAAGGTAGGACCTTGATAGGATGGCATGACGGTAAGCCATCCATTGTATACAATTGACGTGATCTGCTGTGATTGGCCCTATTTGTATCATGTGACTGCCTTGACCAGTCACCGCTAACAATATAATTCTATGCACTGAATGGCATGACGGGAAGCCGGCCATTGTATACAAGTGACATGATGTGATTGGTCACATGACACTGGCAACAGGCCTGGTGTAGTGATATGCCATCGGCTGTGTCCTGTTGACAGATGGCACCACTGCGTGGCTTGTTTTGATAGGATATCATATGACGCCCAGTCACAACGGTGAGTGTCTTGCCCAGGGGCGGACTGACAACTCATGGGGCCCCCCGCAATAGGGATCATGGGGCCCCTTGTCCCCAAACTCAAAAAAGCCTATGAAAAAGGTACCAGGGGCATCTCATGGGGCCCCCTACTGACCACGGGCCCTCGGGCAGTGCCCGAGTTTCCAAATGGTCAGTCCGCCCCTGCTCTCGCCCGTCCGTCAATCTGCTATAGGCTGGGTGGGAAGGTGTTAATATTCGCTATGGTTTCCATTTGCCTTTCAGCAAACTCCAGATAAGAGATGTAACGTTTCTTCTTTTTGCTCGTCGCTCTTGCACCCAGATTGCTGTATCCAGTGTTCTCCTGCGGCAATCTGCCCATCTCAGCAGATCGATGCTCCATCTCAGCAGATCGATGCAAGTCAAAACCTGGGCTAGGAAATGGTTAAAGCCTCTGCCAGGGTGGGGTTTGTTTTAGTGCCAAGGGTGACATTTTTCTTTACTTTCCTGTTGCAGACACAACATAAACAGGAAAATCTCCAGAATAAAAGGAAAATGCCCCTTTTTGGAAGTTGTTACTAAGTGTCCCCATTACAAGATTTCCACTCTATTCCAGTTCTGGTGACAATTCAGAATTCCCTGTGACAGTGGTCACCGGGGCCTAATGGGGACACAGACAGCAATGAACCCTGACAGGGGCTCTAACTTCTCACCACTTTATCTAAAACTTAAAATTTAGCTTTAGATACACTTCGACCCGGAGCAGCAGAAACTGACCTGCCAAAGTGAAGTCTTCTATTTATTTTTATACAATTTATGTACAATATTCCAGCATCATACATACCGGGGTACACACAGGCACCCCCCAACCCCTATATACAGGATCTTGCAATGTAGCAGCAGCATGCAGGCACCATCATGGAGGAGACTGTGTTGTCAAAAGCCCTACAAAAAGAGAAGAATGCATTATTATCAGACAACTTGTTGTATATGTGAGGAAGGGAGGGGGTACAAAAAAAAAAATATAAAAATAAAATAATAGTACTTGGGACCCCTACTCCTACATCTGACACTGGCAGAGGGCCAGGGTAGTGATGTCATTGCCAGATCGCACCGGAGTGTGGCCCATGGGGCGCGACCCTGGAAGGACGTCATATTATGGCCGTCACCTTGCAATGGGCTGAGTGGAAAGAGTTAAAAACACAAGTATCTCAAAGATATAAAACCGCAAACCGCCGTATGATTTTGGGTCTGAGGTTAAAGCTGCGAAATACTTGTGGTTTGGATCTCTTGAATAAAAACTCACCATTATAAAAATATATGCAAGTCCATTGTATTTAACCCCTCCCCCTTCTGAGGATTCACACCCCCTACACCCCCCCCCCCCCCCTCTTCCTGATCAGGCCATTTTTTGCAATACAGCGCTGCGTTACTTTAACTGACAATTGCGCGGTCATGCCACGCTGCACCCAAATGACATTTGTCCTTTTGTCCCACGAATTGAGCTTTCTTTCGGTGGTATTCGATTGCTCGTGCGTTTTTTTTATTTCATAACCAAAAAAAGACAGACAATTTTGAGAAAAAAAAAACAATATTTTGGACTTTTTGCTATTAAACGTGTCCAGTAAAAAATGTTAAATCAAATTTCGGCCGAAATGTATTCTGCTCCGCGTCTCTGCTAAAAAAAAAAAAATCCCAATACGTGTAAATTCATCGGTTTATGTGAAAGTTATAGCGTTTACAAATGGCGATTATAGATGCTGGGATTTTTTTTTTCTACTAGTAATGGTGGCGATCAGCGACTTTTAGCGGGATTGCGGCGGACATTCTGACTGGGGGGGGGGGGGGGGGTGGGGGGGGGGGGGGGGGGGGGGGGGGGGGAGAGAGAATAAACAGGCGCCGCACACACCTCTTGCATTATCCAAGGTTCATTGAAAGGTGTAAAAAACATACAAACAATGGATGCCTCACCAACAAGGCTCCCATCATCCATCCACTACACATCTGCACCAGCGGCTGGTCAGTAGCTCTGAGGAAAGGGATTCGTCCCCGAAACGCGTCAGCCATTTGGCTGCACTGACAGTTGGAACACCTTGCTTGCCGTTGTGGCCATTGTCATTATGCAAATGATTTTTAGATACATGCTTCGGCTGAGTGTTTTTACTTTTTTTATTACCTTTCAATAAACCTTGGATCATGCACTAGGTGTGTGTGCGCCACCTGTCTATTCTCTATCTAGTGGCTGATCTCCCCGTCGAGTTTGCTGAGGAGGGCTGCACCCCTCAAGCATTTCCTTTGGTTGTAGCCAAGACTCGCTGTCCTGGTTCCCTTGGCTTCCCTTTTGGCTGTGCATTTCCTGAGGCGCTGGAGAGTACATACGATATCCTGAAACTGAGTGGGAACTAACTTGGTGTCACTGACAAACCCAGTGACACAATAGAGGGGTCAGTGCTTTGCAAAAAAAAAAAAAAAAAGCACTGACACTGTACTAAGGGCACTGGGCAGGAAGGGGTTAATTTGAGAGGTGCTGGGAGTGTTGTACTAGCAGGCGGGGTCTGTGTGCTCCACTGTATTCACACTGATCGGGATGGCTGTGCTGTGTAGTGTGTCTGAGCTGATAGGGAGGAGAACTGTTAGTAAAAAACAAAACAATCTTCCTCCTCCCTGTCGGTAATTACTGGCCGGGACCCGGTGATTTTGACATCCGCGGCCGTGAATGGCAGCACGGGTAGGGCTCATGCCCCCAGGGCCGGAAATGCAAAATCACACACACATATCTATATCTCTCTATGTATTTGTATATATGTGTATGTGTGTACGTTTGTATATATGTGTATGTATGTACGTACGTGTGTATGTATATATATCACACACACACATACATACACACACGTGATTTTTTGTGCACAGGTGCCGCCCTGTAGCAGTATATGGGGCGGGTCCTTAAGCGGTTAAGAAATTATTCCTGCAACTAAACACTCACCGTGACTGGATGGGGTCCCCAGGATTATAGAAGGGGTTACACATCACGTCTGTGTAGGAGTTATGAAGCTTCCGGAAACATCTGAAAAGAAGTCCAAAAAAAAAAAAAAAAAAAAAAAGATTTCAGTCCATCAAGTGGTGGGCGTGTTCCCCATGGGCTTCAGCTTGTATAAGAGCAGTGTGAACAGCGAGCGTTTATTAAAATTGGAACTATTATTATTATACAGTATTTATAAAGCGCGATAGTTCGCTCAGCGCTGTACATTACAAAGGGGGACAGAACATGTGACAGAACAATACCAATACAATGCGATACATGAGGGGATCGAGGGCCCTGCTCCTTGGAGCTTACAATCTAGGAGGGGAGGGGATGGTGGTACAGGAGGAGATAGCTGTGGGGGATGGAATGGTAGGAAGTGTGGAGGAGGTCGGCAAGTTAGCAGGGGGTGGGGGTAGGCTTCCCTGAAGAGATGGGTTTTCAGGGTGCGCCTAAAGGAGAGGAGAGTAGGTGATAATCTGATGGGTTGGGGCAGGGAGTTCCAGAGGATGGGTGATGCCCTGGAGAAGTCCTGGAGGCGGGCATGGGAGGAGGAGACCAGGGAACTAGAGAGAAGGAGGTCTTGTGAGGAGCGGAGTGTGCGTGTTGGGTGGTACTTGGATATTAGGTCGGTGATGTAGTTCGGGGCAGTATGGTGGACGGCTTTGTACGTCGGTGTTAGGATTCTGAATTTGATCCTGCCGCTATTTTGTTCTCTGAGGTCTCTGCTTTCAGAAAATATCATGTCTTGGAGGTTTTGTCTCATCTTCAGGCCTAAATTGATTTTAATGTGTACAAAAAAATGCAAAACTGGCTGTGGCAGCGAAGGGGTTAAAAGCTTCAACAAAAGCCTGCTGTTCACACTGGTCTTCTAGAAGCTGAAGCCAGTCTTCCCTGGGGGGGGGGGGGGGAGCAGCAATCCACCTATACATATTGTATGGAGAGCCAGCTTTGCACTGCCCGGTACTCACACTGCGGATTTCATTGTCCCGAAGAGCCGTGTTGGAGGAATCTACCACCATGACGAATTTAACTTTAGAGTTGGTGACGTAGCCGTATCTGCGGAGGGCTAAGGGGGTCGAACAGTTCAGAACGAAGTCATTCCTGGCCTTCTGAATGTCATTATCCACACGGGGAAAAACATTCCTCATTACACCCACTAGTGCTGCAGTCCACAAGATTCCACCATCACCCTCAGAGGGCTCTACATGGCACCAGGAGGCCCCTTTCACACCGCAGGTGGTCTGTATGTCCATTTTTCATCTGTCCGTTTACGGGTGAAAACCAGACACCCATCCATGGCTATGGACTAGCGGATGTAAACGGATGATCATTGTTTACATCCGTTAATGTCTGCATCCATTAACATCCCTTTTTTTGAATGGAAGAAAGCACTATTTATCTTCCATTAAAAAAACAAAATGGAACGGACGAAAAACGGATGTGAACTGATTAGTGTTTTTTCTTAGAAAAAATGTGACTGAACTGATGAAAAAACAAAACAAAAATGGAACCCCGTGTGAAAGGGGCCTAAGTCTGCATTGCACTGAAACAATTGTTCCAGCAACGAGTATCGATGTGTCATAGCAGCAATTTGAAAGGCACCAAAAAACACACAAAGGAAATGCACACAACTGCCACAACGTATCATCGTGTAGACTACCATACAGTGAGTGCGCGGCATCCGAGTACAAGATACAAATTCCATAGCATTCAGTTTTAATATTTAAAAAAAATTCCCCCATCCATCTAGGTCTCCATCCCGCCTCCATCCCTCCCTCCATCCCGCCATCCATCCCTCCCTTCATGTCTCCATCCCGCCATCCATCCCTCCCTTCATGTCTCCATCCATCCCTCCATGTCTCCATCCATCCCTCCCTCCATGTCTCCATCCATCCCTTCATCCATGTCTCCATCCATCCATCCCTCCATGTCTCCATCCATCCCCCCCTTCATGTCCCCATCCATCCCTTCATCCCTCCCTCCTTCCATTATCCCTCCATGTCTCCATCCCTCCTCCATGTCTCCATCCCTCCCTTCATCCATGTCTCCATCCATCCCTTCATCCATCCATGTCTCCATCCCCCCCTCCCTCTATCCCTTCATCCATCCCTCGCTCCATGTCTCCATCCATCCCTTCATCCATGTCCCCATCCCCCCTCCCTCTATCCCTTCATCCATCCCCTCCTCCATGTCTCCATCCATCCCTCCCTTCATCCATGTCTCCATCCCTCTCTCCATCCCTTCATCATGTCTCCATCCTTCCCTCCATCCATGTCTCCCTCCCTCCATCCCATCCATCCCTCCCTCCATATCTCCAACCATCCCTTCATCTATGTCTCCATCCCTCCATGTCTCCATCCCTATCTCCATGTCTCAATCCATCCCTCCCTCCCTGTCTCCATCCATGTCTCCATCCATCCATCCCCCCTCCATATCTCCAACCATCCCTTCATCTATGTCTCCATCCCTCCCTCCATCCCTCTCTCCATGTCTCAATCCATCCCTCCCTCCTGTCTCCATCCCTCCATCTATGTCTCCATCCATCCATCCAGCCTTCCCTCCATGTCTCCATCCATCCATCCATCCATCCATGTCTCCTCCATGTCTCCATCCATGTCATCCCTCCCTCCATGTCTCCATCCCTCCCTCCCTCCATGTCTCATCCATCCATCCTTCCCTCCATGCTTTATTTTGCTGCAAAAACATTGTGAAAAACACCTCCTGGCATTTCTGGCTACGGCTGTCTGGAGTGAGGGCAATTGATGCATGAAGCAGTTACTTCCTAGAATCCATATGTCCTTAGCTTAGGCATTGGCTGAGCCGAGAAACCTCCTGGGATGTGTGCCATCATTTGCCTAGACATGGAAACCAGGAAGTAAATGAAGGAATGAAAATAAAAAAAAAAAAAAAAAGGGAAAAGCAAGTAAATATGATATACTTTCCTATCTATTTACTAATACAAGCAGCATTTTATGGTTGAACTGGATGGACTTTTGTCTTGTTTCAGCCAGACTAACTATGTAAGGTTTGGAAATAGTCCATGTTGACTGAGTGAAGTTCCACTTTAACGTACGTTTTGCTACAACACACCACAAAGTTGTAAATGGGTCCTATACTAGAATATAAATAACCAACAGGGAGGGTATATAATAATAGATGCATAAGTGTTGTCCTGGAATTTGAAGGGTAACTCCACTTTTGTGTGAAAACAAATTTAAAAAAAAAATTATATACAGTATCTCCCAGAAGTGAGTCCCCCCTCCCCTGGACTGTATACAATATATATATATATATATACATACATATACATATATACACCACATCAAACACCCACACACAACACATACATACACAACATATACATACATAGTATCTCCAGAAGTGAGTCCCCCCCTCCCCCAGACTGTATACAATGTGTATATATGTATATATATATAGTATCTCCCAGAAGCGAGTCCCCCCTAATTTGACAAGGTCCAAATTAGGCCCAATGAGCCATTTTCCCTCCCCGGGGTCATGTGACTCATGGTGTTACAAGGTCTCAGGTGTTAATGGGGAGCGGGGGGGGGTTACATTTGGTGTTATCGCTCTCACAACTGGTCACTGGAAGTTCAACATGGCACCTCATGGCAAAGAACTCTCTGAGGATCTGAAAAAAAAAAAGAATTGTTGCTCTACATAAAGATGGCCGAGGCTATAAGATTGCCGAGACCCTGAAACTGAGCTGCAGCCCGGTGGCCAAGACCATACAGCGGTGTAACAGGACAGGTTCCACTCAGGACAGGCCTCGCCATGGTCCACCAAAGAAGTTGAGTGCACGTGCTCAGCGTCATATCCAGAGGTTGTCTTTGGGAAATAGACGTAATGGCTGCGATCAGCGACTTATAGTGGGACTATGGCAGGCACTCTGACACTGGGGGGGAACTGACTTAACCCCTTTGCGCCGGCCGCACACAGGATGTGCGGCCGCCCGGCGTCTGGGCCTAGACGCCGAGCGGGCCGCACATTTGCGTCCATGTAACTAAATACATATGTGCTGCAGAGCGCGCGCCCCGCGCGCTCCCAGCACACGTGTGGTTACTCATGGAAAGGTTCCGGTCCGCTCTTTCGAACGGGACCATTTCCCGATCATGTGACCGCCGTGACGCATCATCACGGGCTTTGGTCACATGATTCCTAAACCACGCCCCAACCGCCCCGCCTCCCGGCGTCTGAATCTCATAAAAGGGCCAGGAGGCATCGGCGGGAAGGGGTTAATGTCACGGACATCCCCAGTGACACCAATACAGTAATCGGTGCTAATAAAAAGCACTGACACTGTACTAATGGCACTGGGCAGGAAGGGGTTAACATCTGGGGCAATCAAAGGGTTAACGCTACTCATGCTAAGGCAGCAGAGGAAGGGAGGCAGCAGACAGAAATGACACTCGGTGCTCTGGACTGAGACAAGCACACACTATAGAGGGATGTGCTTTGCTCATATTTCAAGTCTCAGCTTTACAGCCACTCTAATGCCCGATGTTCACATTGAGGAGCACCGAGACCACAGGAAGACTCAGCTGCAGCCCGGAGCCCCATCAATAGAACATGGTCTCCTCTGACATCCATTCAGCCCCACGGTGTTCCAGCACGGGGTCCCATCTGAAGGATACACTTTGTAGTCCTCTGTAGGGTACAGCAGCCCCAGGTAAAGTTCTCTTTGATCCACCAGCGCTTTCCCCATAGCGGAGATCTTCTCGTCCACCACGTCCAGGGAGGTGTGCACGGTGTAGTGGAACTTCAGCTGGTCCTCGGTGGGGATACTGCGAATGTAGAGTGGATAGTTCTGAAAGAGGAAAAATCATTTCAATGTCACACTCTACACATCGCAATCACATCCCAAAGTGGGAGAAAACGACTCTGCCAGCGGCGATGCCTACACACTGCAGAAAATCGCATCTAGCAATGGCGGCGGAGGAGCGTCACCATGCTGGAGACTGGGAGCGTCTATGTACTGAGCAAGACCATAGTGAATGGAGGAGGGGGGAGGGTTCGGTAAGAGGTCATCAATGATGGTTTCCCAAATCCAAGCTTTTTTGGCTTGTAGGGCTCATTCACATCAGGTGTGTTGGGACTGCGCCGGTCAGCCTCGCCTTTCTTCAGTGCAGCGCAATCCACGGCACCGCGATGCGGCCAATAAAATCTAATTCAATGTTTTGCACATCAACGCCAAAACCTTCTCACCGCGCACTGCCGGCTCTATTCCAACGCAACCGCTGATCTGAACCGGCCCTTGCTTTAGTCAGAGCATTGACGGCTGGTGGGAGGAGCCATTTCTGGCGGTGTTTAATTTGATTGGCCCCGGTTCATTGGGCCCTGGTGGGAGGAGCCATTTCTGGTGGTGCGTAATTTGATTGGCCCCAGTTGATTGGACCCTGTGGGAGGAGCTGTTTCTGCCTGTGTATAATTTTGATTGCCCCATGGTGGGAGGAGACATTTCTGGCTGTGTATGATTTGATTGGACCTTGTAATTTGATCGCCCCATGGGGGGAGGAGCCATTTTTGCATGTGTATAATTTGATTGGCCCTAGTTGATTACCCAGGTGGGAGGAGCTGTTTCTTCCTGCAAAAAATGTTATTGGTCCCTACCAATCAAATCATACACAGCCAGAAACGGCTCCTCCCACCAGCTGTCAGAGTGGTTCTGATGGGGAACCACAACGCTCTAGAACCGTATTGGCTCCACCCCCCATGTCCATTCATGAATTTGTGAAACTATCAGCGTCATGGCGGTCAGAAGTCCCCTCCACCTTCGCCATTTCTGCACTCTCCCGCCCCACCAGGGAGCCCACCAGGGAGGACCATAGTAAGCAGTCGGGTCGGCTGCCCACCAAGGAGACGGAGGGTCATCTTTCCCCCGATCTCCTCTGTGATGAATGAAGCCGGACGAGGATTTCATCACTTTCGGTTGCAGAGCTGAATTTCCCTGGCCAGAAGCATCTGACCAAACAGATCTGCGTTTGATTGGCTGCCATGGAGGGCAGAGGAGGGATCAGTGGTCTGCTGACAGATGTTGATGGAACACTACTGCAGATGTTTTAGTACACCCTGACAGTACGCCCTCCGCAGACGCGCCGCGGGGCACTGGTACGCCCTCCGCAGACGCGCCGCGGGGCACTGGTACGCCCTCCGCAGACGTGCCGCGGGGCACTGGTACGCCCTCCGCAGACGCGCCGCGGGGCACTGGTTACGCCCTGGTAGACGCGCCGCGGGGCACTGGTACGCCCTGGTAGACGCGCCGCGAGGCACTGGTACGCCCTACGCCCTGGTACTGGTACGTGCAGACGCGGGGACACTGGTACGCCCTCCGCAGACGCGCCGCGGGACACTGGTACGCCCTCCGCAGACGCGCCGCGGGACACTGGTACGCCCTCCGCAGACGCGCCGCGGGACACTGGTACGCCCTCCGCAGACGCGGGCACTGGTACGCCCTCCGCAGACGCGCCGCGGGACACTGGTACGCCCTCCGCAGACGCGCCGCGGGACACTGGTACGCCCTCCGCAGACGCGCCGCGGGACACTGGTACGCCCTCCGCAGACGCGCCGCGGGACACTGGTACGCCCTCCGCAGACGCGCCGCGGGACACTGGTACGCCCTCCGCAGACGCGCCGCGGGACACTGGTACGCCCTACGCCACTACGCCCGCAGACGCGCGGTGCGTACAGATGTTGATGGGACAGTTGGTCAGGGACAGATGGTTCTTGGTGTACTGCGTGGGGATGGCTGCAGTCTGTGTGATCTCTGTGTAGCTGCCGAGAATGTCAGAGGATGCAGCTCTCCCCCCTCTGCACTGAGCTCAGTGGGAAGATCCGACACAGAGACACATGTCTCTGTTTACACTGAGTAATGGCTGTGAGTGGACACAGTTATCACATGATCAGGAGGGCCAATCACAACACCCATGTCCCAATCTGTGATATGCTGTGTCCGAGCGACACCTCCATCACAGGATCACGTCGCTGCGAGGGGCGAGTTCTGACCCGGCATACAGGTATGTCCAATCAGAAAGGGGAAGCTCCCACCCAGCTGTTTATGTGCAGTTTGTCGCCGTTACATGGGCGTGCGCCATTTTGAAGCTTGACATGTTTGGTATCTACTTACTCGACGCAACATCATCGTTTATATTTTTGGGGTATTATATTGTATCCGCGCTCAGATTTTTTTTTCCTGAAAATTTATGTTTGGTAAATAGCTTCACGAATATCATGCGCCATAAAAATCGCTGCAACCGCCATTTTATTCTACAGGGCCTCTGCTTTCAGAAAATATAATATTTGGGGGGCTCTGCAAGTTTTTACATCCCCACCACCCCAGTGTGCCCCCCCTTCCCTAGCCCCCCAATCCCCACCACCCCAGTGTGCCCCTCCATCTCCTCCCCCACCACCCCAGTGTGCCCCCCCCTTCCCATTCTCCAGCCTCCCAAACCCCACCACCCCAGTGTGCCCCCCCCATCTCCTCCCCCACCACCCCAGTGTGCCCAACCCCCCCCCCCTTCCCATTCTCCAGCCCCCCAATCCCCACCACCCCAGTGTGCCCCCCCATCTCCTTCCCACCACCCCAGTGTGCCCCCCACATCTCCTCCACTACCCCTGTGTTCCCCCCCCATGGTTTGTTCCACCCAGGAAAGTGCTGGGAATGAAGAGCTGAGGGGATGGACATCTTCATGAAAAGGGGGACTGCACTGGAATGGGACAACTCCAGACGACTTCCCCTCCCCCAGGCAGACTGCACACGAACTACAAGTCGCAGCCAGGACTGACACCGCCCCTCTCTGGTGACCGGACCCCCCATCCTCCTCACCTCCTTAGCGATGACAGCTACACACACCGCCATCTTGGTCCTCTCAAGCCGTGACGTGCACGACGCATCACGTGATTGCCTGATCCCCGCCCCGGATGGGCGGGAGAAGACGACTCAGTCATGTGACCGGGGAGGCCGAGCGCCGCAATAGAGTCTGGCTGAGATGAGGAGCGCCATGTTCTCCAGGAAACACGTGACCTCCACTCCCCTTTTTTTTCAATTCTAGTGAACTTTAATGTAACAAGCAGAGTGGAGCTCCACTCGTCAGGAAACATGTGACCTCCAGTCTGTAGCCAGACCTTCTTGAGTTGAATCCGGACACTTCCCAACCCACCCCTTCATGTCCAGTCCCAGGAGACTTCCCCCCCTTCCAGTCCGGAGACTTCCCCCCCTTCCAGTCCGGACGCTTTCCCCCCCCTTCCAGTCCGGACGCTTTCCCCCCCTTCCAGTCCGGACGCTTTCCCCCCCTTCCAGTCCGGAGACTTTCCCCCCCCTTCCAGTCCACTTCCCCCCCTTCCAGTCCAGACACTTCCCCCCCTTCCAGTCCGGACGCTTTCCAGTCCGGACGCTTTCCCCCCCCCTTCCAGTCCGGACGCTTCCCCCCCTTCCAGTCCGGACGCTTCCCCCCCTTCCAGTCCGGACACTTTCCCCCCCTTCCAGTCCGGACACTTTCCCCCCCTTCCAGTCCGGACTCCCCCCCCCCCCCCTTCCAGTCCGGATGCTTTCCCCCCCCTTCCTGTCCGGACGCTTTCCCCCCCTTCCAGTCCGGACACTCCCCCCCATGTTGCGTCATGCAACATTGTACCCATATGAATTTTTTAGCATTTTTTTGAGACAGATAAAACTTGATTTTTGGTGGTATTTATTCACCGCTGGGATTTTTATTTTTTTGCTATATAAATGAAAAAGTCCAAACATTTTTAAAAAAAATTGTCTTATAAAATTTTGCAAATAATCTTTCTTCATAAATCGCGGCCAAAATTTATTCCGTTATCTTTTTAGAAAAAAAAAATAACCCAAATTAGTTTGTAACCAAAAATTATAATTTTTTTAATTTTGTTTTTATTTTTTTATATTATTTGTTTTGGGGTTTTTTTTACATACTGTCACCTTAGCAATAGTATCACCATGGTAACACTGTACTACTTGTGGGGGGGTGATGAAGATTTTTTTTTTTTTTTACCCATAAAGGCTGTAAAAGCAATCATTTCTCCTTCTCTCTGTCTGCATTCTTGCAGCCACTGAGAAATACTGTGTGAGCTGTGATTGGTCACAGCTTGTCACATGGTACAAGGCTGTTGTGAATAGCTCTGTACCATGTGATCTCTGTCACAGATTTCACACGTAGTAAGCAATGATGTCAGGAAGTGAAATCTTGCTTACTCCTTTTCATGTGATCACTGATTGGCCAATGGTAAAGATGAGAAATAGAGAGGGGGGGGGGAATGCCCCTAACGGGGGCACAGACAGCAAGAATACCTGATGGGGGCTTTCCACCCAAATGCTCTCCCCCCTCTCTGGCTCTGGCGGTGTAGGTGTACTCATGGAGTCCGTCTCCTGTGCTGCTGTTGGGTTGGTGGCTGCTACCAGGCCTTTAAGCTGGGCTGCTCCTTCCATGCCACCAGGTGGTCCTCTCTTAGGGGGCCAGTGAAGTCCACAGCTTTCCTCCTTTCCAGCATCACTCCCGGAGGCAAGCCCCTTCCACCCCAGGCTCCCTCCCAGGCTCCTGCACCTCCACCACACTCTTCCACCTCCTCCCTGCTTCTCAGCAGGCTCCCTTACCCTTAGGGGTTGTCCTAGCCCCTTGCCAAGCCTCTTGTTGGGGATTGGCCAGGATCCCTCAAAAGTACAAACCTGCCACTCAGATCCACCCACTGCCTCTAGACCTTCCTCCAAAGCTCGAGGAGGGGCAAATCCCACAGAGGCTGGCCTGCAGAGCCTCTCAGCCCTCAGCCGAATTTGACCTATCACACCCAGGCTGCTACTCAGCCCTCTAGCTCCCCCTAGCTAACTAGGTGGTGCTGTATACATCATCACCACTACCACAACCATCATGTTTGCAGTCTCTGACCATCTCCTGTACTATGTCTGTAGTCTCTGACCATCTCCTGTACTATGTCTGTAGTCTCTGATCATTTCTTATATCATGTCTGCACTCTCTGATCGTCTCCTGTATCATGTCTGCAGTCTCTGACCATCTCCTGTATCATGTCTGCACTCTCTGATCGTCTCCTGTATCGTGTCTGCAGTCTCTGACCATCTCCTGTATCATGTCTGCATTCTCTGACCATCTCCTGTATCATATCTGCAGTCTCTGACCATCTCCTGTATGATGTCTGCACTCTCTGACAATCTCCTGTATCATGTCTGCATTCTCTGACCATCTCCTGTATCATATCTGCACTCTCTGACCATCTCCTGTATGATGTCTGCACTCTCTGACAATCTCCTGTATCATGTCTGCATTCTCTGACCGTCTCCTGTATCATGTCTGCTGTCTCTGACCATCTCCTGTATCATGTCTGCTGTCTCTGACCGTCTCCTGTGCCATGTCTGCTGTCTCTGACCGTCTCCTGTGCCATGTCTGCAGTCTCTGACCGTCTCCTGTATCATGTCTGCAGTTGTAATCCCTCTCCACTCTATCCCATGCCTTTAGGTGTGCTTTGACATGCGTGTATATTGTCCTGATAGCATGTCTGCTCTATTAGAGGGTGTCAGTCCTAGATGAAGGCATGCAGTCTATTCTGAGTGGGACAGATGGGCGCATGTTAGCCGCGATCCACACGCCGCGCCACCAGGCCTGGGGTCTTGCAGGTCACAGCGGAATCAGGAATGTGACCTCAATGTGGCGCTGCACAGCTGATCCCCGCATCGGATGCTCCAACACAATACCAAAGGGGCAATTAGAATAAATGAAGCAAGTGCACTGCACACCTGTGCTCCGGGCCCCTGGGGGCCATACAGTCAGAGGAAATTTCTAAACACCCATCTGTGAACATTGCACCATCCCCCCCCCATACTGTCATTAGATCACCACCTATCTATTTGCAGCAGTGGAGGGAGTCATTCATACTCACACCTGGGCCAGCTAATGCGACAGCAGCGACCTGACAACGGGCTGAGGAATTGCACTTTATTAACCCTCCGCACTCTGAGAAACGCTATGGAACCCACAGAATGTGGTCATCATGTGGTTTCCTCTGTTATGGGTGCTCCAGTGGGGAGAACTAGTAGCGTCTGCTCCAGGAGGAGAACTAGTAGCGTCTGCTCCAGGAGGAGAACTAGTAGCGTCTGCTCCAGTAGGAGAACTAGTAGCGTCTGCTCCAGGAGGGAGAACTAGTAGCGTCTGCTCCAGGAGGGAGAACTAGTAGCGTCTGCTCCAGGGGGAGAACTAGTAGCGTCTGCTCCAGGGGGAGAACTAGTAGCGTCTGCTCCAGGAGGGAGAACTAGTAGCGTCTGCTCCAGGAGGGAGAACTAGTAGCGTCTGCTCCAGGGGGGAGAACTAGTAGCGTCTGCTCCAGGAGGGAGAACTAGTAGCGTCTGCTCCAGGAGGGAGAACTAGTAGCGTCTGCTCCAGGGGGAGAACTAGTAGCGTCTGCTCCAGGAGGGAGAACTAGTAGCGTCTGCTCCAGGAGGGAGAACTAGTAGCGTCTGCTCCAGGAGGAGAACTAGTAGCGTCTGCTCCAGGAGGAGAACTAGTAGCGTCTGCTCCAGTGGGGAGAACTAGTAGCGTCTGCTCCAGGAGGGAGAACTAGTAGCGTCTGCTCCAGGGGGAGAACTAGTAGCGTCTGCTCCAGTGGGGAGAACTAGTAGCGTCTGCTCCAGGAGGAGAACTAGTAGCGTCTGCTCCAGGAGGAGAACTAGTAGCGTCTGCTCCAGGAGGGAGAACTAGTAGCGTCTGTTCCAGGAGGAGAACTAGTAGCGTCTGCTCCAGGAGGGAGAACTAGTAGCGTCTGCTCCAGGAGGAGAACTAGTAGCGTCTGCTCCAGGAGGAGAACTAGTAGCGTCTGTTCCAGGAGGGAGAACTAGTAGCGTCTGCTCCAGGAGGGAGAACTAGTAGCGTCTGCTCCAGGAGGAGAACTAGTAGCGTCTGCTCCAGGAGGGAGAACTAGTAGCGTCTGCTCCAGGAGGAGAACTAGTAGCGTCTGCTCCAGGAGGAGAACTAGTAGCGTCTGCTCCAGGAGGAGAACTAGTAGCGTCTGCTCCAGTAGGAGAACTAGTAGCGTCTGCTCCAGGAGGGAGAACTAGTAGCGTCTGCTCCAGGAGGGAGAACTAGTAGCGTCTGCTCCAGTGGGGGAGAACTAGTAGCGTCTGCTCCAGGAGGGAGAACTAGTAGCGTCTGCTCCAGTAGGAGAACTAGTAGCGTCTGCTCCAGGAGGGAGAACTAGTAGCGTCTGCTCCAGTGGGGAGAACTAGTAGCGTCTGCTCCAGTGGGGAGAACTAGTAGCGTCTGCTCCAGTGGGGAGAACTAGTAGCGTCTGCTCCAGGGGGAGAACTAGTAGCGTCTGCTCCAGTGGGGAGAACTAGTAGCGTCTGCTCCAGGGGGAGAACTAGTAGCGTCTGTTCCAGGGGGAGAACTAGTAGCGTCTGCTCCAGTAGGAGAACTAGTAGCGTCTGCTCCAGGAGGGAGAACTAGTAGCGTCTGCTCCAGGAGGGAGAACTAGTAGCGTCTGCTCCAGGAGGGAGAACTAGTAGCGTCTGCTCCAGTGGGGAGAATCTAGTAGCGTCTGCTCCAGGAGGGAGAACTAGTAGCGTCTGCTCCAGGAGGAGAACTAGTAGCGTCTGCTCCAGTGGGGAGAACTAGTAGCGTCTGCTCCAGGAGGAGAACTAGTAGCGTCTGCTCCAGGAGGGAGAACTAGTAGCGTCTGTTCCAGGAGGGAGAACTAGTAGCGTCTGTTCCAGGAGGGAGAACTAGTAGCGTCTGCTCCAGGAGGGAGAACTAGTAGCGTCTGCTCCAGTGGGGAGATCTAGTAGCGTCTGCTCCAGGAGGGAGAACTAGTAGCGTCTGTTCCAGGAGGGAGAACTAGTAGCGT